GCTTGCTTTCAGCAAACCCCTCATCTATATCTGTTCCAGGCAGACAGATCTAGGTTTCCAGGGGGAAAGTTACTTATCCTCCATGCAAGTCTACCAGACTTGCTTAGCAACCAGAAAAGGCTTATAATTGCTTTTCCAAACCTTTCTGGTGAGCTGCACTTTTCAGTCCTTCTGCAGGACACTGATTTCTGACCAAAGGATTCTATTCCATCAATGACCCATTAAATTAACCTTAGATGGCTGATAGTACCATGTTCTGCTCACGTTCAGTGTAGCCAGGAGTTAATGAATCAAGCCCCTGAAAGCAAGATACACTCTCTGTGTAAATTATGTTTCAGTTTGTAGGGAATTTTGAGTTCCTGAACTGTGACTCTTGTCCTATCATATGTGCAACTAGTTAATAGATATTCACTGTGGAACCCCCCTATCCCAGACTAGGCCCCTGCTCCCAAGGCTGTACCATGCACTCGGAGTATGCCAGTGTTGAATATAAACTAATAATTATCTTGAGTGCGTTGTTAAGGATGTACCAGGCATGTAACTAAGGAGGAGCTACTTGAGTAAGAACAGAAGGCTGGTTATTTTAGCTACATATAGGAAGAGAAGGAAGAAGGGCTCTTTCAGGAAGTGAGCTTGACCTAAGATTTGAATAAAAACACAGACCTGCATGAAGGGGGACTGATGTCAGATATTGAAAGCAGAAAACAATTTTTACAAAGGCTCTGAGGTAGGGGAACCAATGCTAGTTTGGCAAAAGCAAGCTACATGGGAAGGAAACTTATTGCTGGCATAGAAGTGGGTAAGGCCCAACATTGAAGCTGAAGAAATCTTTTTGGGCCACTATATTGTAAATAAGGAAACAAATAGGAAAGGGAAACAGATATTACAGATGGTTGTCATGAAGTGCTGAGACAGACAGATGTTCCTGAAAGCAGTAACATTTGAATGGTAGAGAAAAGAGATGGATTGGGACAGGAGTTCAAACTTAAAAGGCTTTGGAACCAGCACTGTTCATGTTGACCTCTCTCATTCTGTATTTGTAGGAAAGACCTTAATGCTTAGTTTGAGGAAACTCTGAAAAGACATGTAGACACAGCCATTGTGAGGGATGTCCGTGTATGTAAGCAACAGAATTATGTGAGCTCTACTAACCTACAGCATGAGTGACATGCTTAGCAGCTTTCCATCTCATTAAAAAGTACTTTTCAGACAAAAATGAAGCATATCATTAAAAAGTACTTTGAAGGGAAACACACATGAGGAAGCAAGCAAGCTCACAGATTACCAATATGCGATGCGGAGCCAGAAAAGTCAGAAAGAAGCTGGGAATGGGAAAAATTGATAGAAGACAGTCTCATAAAAGTCAAGAAGACTTACATCTTGTATTTCTAAGAACTAAACAATGGAAGAGTTTGTTAGGCAGTCACCCAAGTGCCTCAATACGAATCAGAAAAAGGCACGATTTGTTACAGAGCTTGAAACATCTACAAGGGAAAATAATTGAGAGAATGGGCCAGGTGTGGAAAGGCAGGAGGTGCAGAACCATGTGGTCTCTGTACCAATTTTACATATCCTTCCGAATAATCATGACCAAGGGATCCATGGATGGGATTCTTGTCGTTTAATATAAAGGCCATTCTACCTGTTAGAAGTTCTTTCCTACATATGATCTATTCTCTTTTTGATGTTGACACCTGCCTCCTTGCAGCCTGATTCTGCTATATCTTTTCTTTAAAGACCACACAAAACATATTAATTCCACGTAGAACATGTTTAGTGTGCTTTAACCTTTTCACCAGAATGTTAGATATTTAGAAACAGTAACTGTGTCTTCCTTTACACATCTTCCTCTCAATCTTCAACCCATGTTTCTATACCTTGCCATCTTGCACCCCTTCTGTGAATCTTCTCTAGTCATCACTATCAGCCTTAAAATTGTGCTCGCAAAGAATATAACTTTATGAGCGAACTTAACCTAGGACGTTTTTAGGTAACTCTTTTTAAGACTGCAGTAGGAGGAGTGCAAATACATCCACTGAGCTTGGTCTTTGTTATTTCTATTTCTCACCCATCTGCCTTCAAGGTATCCTGTTTGTTGTGTCATGGGGAGATGTATAATCTACAGTGAGTGATTTCATCAGTATAAAGAATGTCATCCCTCATCACCCTATCATTTCTGATTAAGTTCACTCAGTCTAATGTACATTATATCGTGTACCAATAATGCCTACCCAATGCTTCATGCTCCTCGTACCTCTTGCTAGACATTACATTATTATGTACTTAAAGGAGAGAAGCTTCTCAAACAAAGAGGAAGATTAAACTGAGTCTGAGTGGCTAAAGTCAGAGAGAAAATTGGAAACACAGTGTTTTATTCCCTCTGGAAAATGATACTAAAATGAGGACAACCAGCAACCTGGCTTGAAATCAGGGTTCCCATTACTTACCTTCTGTATATGTTCAAAGGCAAAACTAACAACAACAAATACATAACAACCCCCAAATCTGCTTTTAGGAGCTGTATATCACATAATACACGTACCCAGCTTTTGAAGGGGTATACAGTATCTATTTTAAAGATAAGAACATTAAGACATGGAAGCCAAGTGACATTATTGACTGTCACCTCCTGAGTAGGTTGCAATGAACTTGATTTTGTTACTCAATCCATTTCTAGTCTTGTACAACTGTCTCTATAAGGTATATTATAAGCTACTTTTGATTAAAAAAATCATTTTTATGAAAATTACTTTTTCATACGGCAGAGATACATGGAACATAGGAATGCATATTGTTTTATTTGTGAGTCTAGAGATGCCACTGGAGCATGCAGGAAGGGCAAAAGAGTATTAGAGGAGAGACAGGCCATGTGTTGTGCAATGTCAGCCATTGTGTTTTACATAGAGCTGAAATGTATCCACACAGATTCTGTCAATAGCACATTTGGAACATAAACAAGATTCAAGGTGACTGATCAGCCTAAGAAAGCAGTGTTTCAAACCTTTTAAATACTACTCCAGCAGCATTCACTTGTATATAAATCATGCGGTAATTTATTCATTAAAATAACTTGAACTTGGCAACATTTTATTAACCTTGGTTTACGTTAATAAGCTTTGTACTTGTGTTTTTAATATATCTCTGTATACAATGATCCTGTAACTCCAATTTTTTTCTCACATAGACTAAGTCATTACCAATCCCCAACCTGTATCCTACATCTGCTAAAACTGAGTTCACATTAGTGTGTTTACAGGTTTTCGGAAGCCAGGGTTGTAGACAGCACCTACTTTTACAGTAGATCTGCATCAGAATCACCTAGGAGGTTTTTGATAATTGTTTTTTGTGCCTTTATAATCTTTCCAAACACAATACATCAAAGATATCCCTAAGAAATAAGGGTTTCAGCTATTAGGTCACAAAGTATCACTCAAAACTAGTGGCTAGAGGGTGTCTACTCCATACAATTCCACTGCAAGTGTTGGAAAGGACAGTAAAAGATCCACCAAGTCCCAGGAGAGTCATGGAAGAATTTCCAACCTCCTGTTTTTCATTTTTAGTGTTTGGATAGCCATTTTAATGCCCAGCTAATTTGGAAAAACCATATCAATGTAGACAGAGATGTATAGTCCACATGGCCCCTGGGGATGAGGTAAAGATCTTTATATGGTTGGCAGAAACACATGATAAACAGCCAAAATTAGAGATAAAAATGGAAATTGCTTCCAAAAGGCTGGAAGTAGAGTATCAAATACATGACCAAAATCTGCTTGTCCTCTTTGACACCCAAGGCAGACATTGTTAATTGATCGACACATCTTTCCTTTTTACAACCAAAGTGCTCTTACAACAAGGACTCTACAGCACTGACACCATCTGACTCAGTTCTCATATGTGTAGAATATATTTAGTGCTCTTTGGCTATAACTAGTATGAAAACAGACATCATTTTATATTTTCTTCTAACTTATTGTACAATAGGCTGTGTTCCACACAGCACAAGCAGACACTGGATCATTCTCCTGTGGACAAGACACTAGAGAAGATTGCACAGCCCTTGGTGGTTCATGTGGTACTGGTTTGATATTGGTATTTTTGTATGTAAAGATCCAAAAATCAACCTCTAAAATATTCAGGAGCTTCAAGTCACAGGTATATCATTTAAATCAATGCAGTTTCTGTTCATGATAACTCAAAGTTCTACTTTGAATATATGCTCTTTGGAGAGACAAGTTGAGTCTACAGGTACACTAAGTACAAAGGCAGCATGTTTTTGCAAGTGTATATTATATATGTGTGTAAATGTTAGTATACTTGCATATGTATATACATATGCTAGAGGCTAGCACTGCATATCTTTCTCCATAACTGTTCCATCCTTTTTTTCTTAAGATGAGGTCTCCTTGGCCCTGGAGCTCACTCATGTAGCTACAGTAGCTTGTCAATAAGCTCCAGAGATCTGCCCATCTCCTTCATAGCCATTTTGTTACTAGTGTTTGGGCTACATATATATAGGTACTGTCATTCCCATCTTTTTATAGGGGTGCTGGGGAGCCAAACTCAGGTTCCTGTGGTTATAGGACAAATAATTTATCCACTGAGTCATTTACCCAGCACCGAATGTTAGCATATTTGTCTCAAAGAATTATATGTCACTTTGCTTGATTTCTACTGTTAACACTTTATATTATCTATGAAAATTCAGGATTATGTCTTTACACAGATATTAAGTGCCCTGGCAAACACGACAGAGGAGAAATCACAAGGCCACCTGGCTCGATATTGGGTTTCATCAGTAAAATGTATCATTATAATTCATTTATTTTAGATTCTGCTGATGGTCACTCTTGGCTTGTTAGCTTCTACTGCCACTTTCCAAGCTCTACTGGATAGAATATCATTTAAGATCCCGTCTGGGGTGACATATGGTTAATTGGGTTGATTTCATTGCACTGACAAGCCTTGTGATCAAATAATAAAGTCACAAAGGATAGACTCACCTCATCATATATGTTGTCATTCCTGCGGAAGTCCCCTGCCTTCCTGGGAAGAATGTGGACATGTACATGCTGAAATATAAAAGAAAGGGAAAAATGTGTTTAATTCCCCTTCTCTCTTTTGACTTGACAGTGATGCTTTCCTGGAGGCCAATTACTATCCACTGCTTCTTACCGGATTATTTTTTCAGAGGAAGATGATGTTCACCTTCAGAAACTACATCTGAAATCTGTTGAGAATAAAGAAGCACAAAACAAGAGGGAACAACTTGGTGGCATACAGAAGTTTGAGAGAAATGCCAGAGTCCATTACAGGCTTGGTGGAATTATTCATCACTGTCAGTCTGAGTTGTAGTTAGCCTGTGCTTTGAAATGACAGTATGTCTTAAGAGATGGCTGCTGTGACTCTGAAACTGACAAGAGAGAAGACCTGGCCAGAAAAAGAGTGCATAAGTAACCAGTGAGTAAGTGAAAGGAAGAAGTGGACTGGGCCAAGTCAAGACCCATTGAATAACAATTACACAACTGTAATGCACATGCACTCATTTATTTTTATTGACTATGACAACCAATGATTGTATTAGTACCAGATAGTTTTTCATTGAGTACTCTCACAACTCCTTTCTGAAATGTTCTCCATTTTACAGAAGGAGAAACCAATGCTAGAGAGGACAAGGCTCCAGATCTATAAAAAATGGTGTAATTGTCATAGAAAATGATATTACTCTCTCTTATTCTCCTGTTCTTTACCAACGTATACAATAATTCTGTGAACGTAAGTTTTTGAAAAAAATTAAAAATTAAATTGTGTGTGTGCGCGCACGTATGTGTGTGTGTGCACATGCACGTGTTTGTAGATCAGAAGGGCAAAGGACAACTGGCAGCATGTGCCCCTCCCACATTGCATATTCTTGGAATGAAACTCATGTCGTAAGTCTTGGCAACAAGTACCTTCACATGCTAAGCCATTTTCCTGACCTGCACTTAATCTTTTAAATCCCTCATTTTTTTAGTCTAGGACTCCTAAAGTACTAGGTAATAGACCCTGCTGTCCTATTAGGCAGAGATCATTAATCAGGACTCACAACATGTCTAATTTAACATGTATTCTTCAAGGTTAAGCTGGTATCTTAGTTTTACTCTACCAGTGGCATCTATTGTATGTCTCTAAGCCTAAACCTTATTCATGCCCTTGAGCTACATTCCTGCATCTATTATCAATGACAGAGAATGGAAGATGGAAATACTTATGAAAAGCAAGTAGAGAATCAAAGCACATTGACAATCATGCCCACCCTACATTGATTACTGTGTTTGGGCTGTAACCATGGACTTCCAGAGAACAGAACATGAAGTGTCTCTGTGGCTTCCTGTATAAGGAAGGGAGAATAATAAGATATTGTAGGAGAGGCAGCAGGCAAGGCTATCCATGGTAGGTGAAATAAAGAGGAACTTAGTGTTAGTCCCCCAGTACACAGTCCCCCAACTGTGACATCTTTCTGCCTAAAAGTTCTGCAGTCAATGAGGAAGCTCAGTCCAAAACCCCTCAGCAACTGGGACACAGGCATACTTCGGTCTCCAACTACGTGAGCGAAGAGAGATGGAGCCAGACACAAACAAATGTGGAGAGGTAAGTTACTAACTACCCAGGAACCAAATTTTAAAATGAAAGGCATGCAACACAAGCCCAAGAAAAAAATTCACTGTGCTCAATGGCTGAAGGATTGAGACATCAGGTCAGAGAAGGCAGGGAGCAGAAACAGCTGAGGACTCAAAGAGATCCCATGAAATCTTCAGTTGCAAATCTTGCTGTAACTTTTTCTTTCTTTACCCTTTTTCTTCCTTATCAAGACCTCCTTTTCTCCTTTCTTCCTTGATGTCATCCACCTGGTCTCAACTATCTTATTTACACATTAGTCATCACAAACTCCAGATCAGTGCTCTGTACTGTATTCAAACTGCAAGATGGTATGAATATAAAAATAACTACTTTTACCTCGAGTACTGTATGCCCAATACAGTTGGACTTCCTGTGTACTAGGTGTGTTACCATGCAATTTTCTATAAGGAGGACTGCAGTATTCCCTTCCTACAGGCCTAAAGTATCAAGTCATCTAAACACATGTTTGTTATAAGCTTGTCATGCTACTTAGCATGGTGTTCTGAATATACGTAGATGCAGGAAGAGTATCTTTACTGTTAAAAAGCATGCAACCTGAAGACCAGAGGTTACATCCAATGACTGGTTCTTACATTAACAAGAATGATACTTCACAAGATTCTTAACTGGTGTACATTTAAAGTATTTTTTTCTGCCAGAGTTTGTTTCTGTTGCTTTGATTAGTGTCTCTCAAACTGTAGTAAAGAGCTGGGTATTGCTAAAATTAAGAGCCTCTTAATTTACTTTCTAATAGATCCCCATGGGATGCTAGTCTAAGGTCATACTTTGAGAGACATTGGTCAAGACAACCCTTCTTGTTCTTAGGCCTACCCCTATGAAATGCACTCATGTTGAGCACAGAGGTGAACACTTTGTTTGGTCTGCCCTGCTGTGTTATGTAGAGACCTATGCCCAGGCTTGTGCACTACTTTCTGTCTGTACTTAAGACCATACCAGTGACTCCAGATCTGGACTTGACTCTAATTCCTATTCTACACTTTGCTTCCATGGATTCACTCATCAGAGCCATTTCTATATGCAGCTACCATTCAGCTCAGGAAATGTCACTGTGGATCATTGGCAACCATCTGAAACATGCTATGACACCAAAGACAGTAAACAGCTCACTGTCTAGGTGATTTTTCCCTAAGGGCATGATCTCAGCTTTTCCTGGTACATGATACAGTGACATAAACTTTTAGGTGACAGCCTAATCACAGGATTCTGACAACTCACTCAGCCTTCTAGGACATAGAAATCATGACAGAGCCAGCTCAGCTCTTGTAAGGAAGAGAAGGAAGGCTCAACCTACCAACATGATAAGTATATAAACCAAGAGATGGCAAGTTCCAGAAGCCCAGAGAATAGATAATTTCAAGAAAGAAGGAATCATCAATAGTGTTTACCATTGTTGAACGCTTAGTTGGTTTCAGTGAAACTGGAAAAACAACTATACAAAGCCCACGATTAGATACTCAATGGCATTAGTCATTAGTGAAATGCCAATCAAAACCACAGAGAGATACCACTTCACATCTACCAGGATGCCTCCAATCAAAAGGACAGACAAGGGCAAGTGTGGGGGAGACTGTGGAGCCATGGAAGCCTCAAACACTTTTGCACAGAGTGCAAAATGATGCAGCTGTATGTTAGAAAAACAGCTTGGCAATTCCTCAAAATGTTAAATATCCAGCCACCAAATGACCCAAAATTATATTTCTAGTATATACACATCAGAACTGAAACCATGTAGGCACAAAACCTTGTAATGCATATTTATAGCAATATTATTCACAATCATCAAAAAGTGGAAACAATCCTAAGTGACTATCAACTGATGAATGCCATAATAACAAGACAACAGAAGATGATTGGGCATAAAAAGGAACGGAGTTGCTAAGGGAAGGCATTATGCTAAGTGAAAGGACTCAGATCCGAATGGCCATTTATTACACGATCCCATTTATGAAATGTCCAGACTAGGCAAATTCACAGAGAAAGATCAGTGTTTCCTGGAGCAAAGTGAAGAGTGGCTGCCAAGAGAAACAGGGTTTAGTTGGAGGTGACTGATGTTTTCTTTTCTAGTGTCATATAGTAGTGATGGTCTCACAACTTTTTGAATGCATTAAAAACCACTGCACTTTTTACTTTAACAGTGTGAAGTGTATGAATTTTATCTCATTAGAGGTGTTGATAGGGACGACAGGAGTAGAGAGGCAACTGCAATAGCATCACCTTTTTTGCTACGCTTCTTCTTTCTGCTGTGCTGCTACTTCCATCATTGTTTCCACAAACACATTCATCACCTGAGGATGGTCAGTGCAATCAAAATAATATGCCTTTTCCCTAAGTATATCATAATTCAATTGTAGGAAATACAACAATGGCAGAAAAAAAGAGACATGAAAGGGATACAAGGGCTAGTATCCTTTCTTTTAAAAAAAACTGGATATTTTATTTACATTTCAGATGCTATCTCCTTTGCCCATTCCCCCCCAAAAGCCCCCATCCTATCCCCCCTCCTGTTGCTTCTATGAGGATGTATCCCCACCCTTCCACCCATTCCCTCCTTCCTACCCTCGAATTTCCCCACACATGAAGGCATCCAGCCTTCATGGGACTAAGGATCTCCTCTCCCACCTATTGCCCAACAAGGCCAATCTCTCCTACATACACAGCAGGAGCCATGGGTCCCTCCCTATGTGCCTCCAGGCTGGTGGTTTAGACCCTGGGAGCTCTGGTGGTTTGGTATTGTTGCTCTCCCCATGGGGCCGCAAACACTTTTAGCTCCTTCAGTCTTCTCTCTAACTCCTCCATTGGGAAGCCCACGATCAGTTCAATGGTTAGCTGTGAGCATCTGCTCCTGCTGTATATGTCAGGCTCTAATTGGCTACCTGCACCCCCAGTTGTGAGAGCTTGTGTGAACCCCTCTCTTCAACACTAGCCTATGAATGGTCATAGAAGGAAAACTCAACTTTAAAGAATAATAAAAGTAATGCTGTAGGGGACAGATATTTTCCAAAAGATACCTACATTCTAAACCTGGACTTGTGAACATAGTAGATTACAGGACAGGGGAAATAAAGGATGCATATGAAATGAGGTTGCTTACCAGCAGATCCTGAATTGAAAATCTACCCTGGATTATTTGGCTTGGCTCAGTGTCATCACAAGAGACCTTCAAAGCAGAAGTCACTAAATATCAAAATCCTCACCTCATGACCCAAAGGATGTAATTGAGAAAATGAAAAGCCAGGCCACAGATGGGAGAAAGTTTTTTAATATCATATATCTAAAAAGGGACTTGTATTTGGAGTACCTGAAGAACTCTTATAAGTCAAAAGTAACATGATGGTAGTTATAGCTTAAATAGACAGAAAATGTAAACATTTTCCCAAAAGAGAAACATAAA